TGGAACCTTGATTATACAGTCATGCAGACAACTCTGTTACTGGAATTAACAAAATTTAATTGGTAGCAAGATAAAATCTATTTATTTATAAAATTTATCTTGGCAGCAAGATATTCCAGAAAAGTAGATGACACAGACCTACATATAATGACTACATTTGGATTAGAAGCACTAATATCAGAAGAATACTACAAGAAATTCAGGAAGACACAAGAGCCAAAATTTAAGTAGTCGCTAAAGAAACACATTAAACTTATTTGTCTATAAGAAAAAAGGAAATAATCTTAATTGAAATACTGATAGCATGCCAAGACAAATTATAGACTTTGAAAATAGATGTGAAGTATGATATTAGCACAAACGAGCTAGGCCTTATTTGTAAGAGCAATGTCAAAATAATTCTCAATGTTATGATGGGATAGTGACAAAGTAGCTCTGAAAACATATCTTCTGCCTTAAAATTTCTCCACACACTGAGGTTCACAATCAGTTTCTGGTACTTCCTAAGACCTAGGAAACCCTATACATTGGTGAGTTACAGGGATCAAGGTATACTGTGAAAGCAAGCAAGCAAGAACGCACACACACACACACACACACACACACACACACACACCACAATTAGAAAGCAGATAATTCAGACATAAATTAATTATGTGTACATAAACATAAATGAATTATCTTTTCATTGTTAGTCAGAAAGACAATTAAATACACTTAATAGTAAGATGAAAAAAATAGTCTTTCCTAATAAGATTTACTGAGATGTCTGCATCTGACACTCATTAAGCAGTACTTAATTCCAAGTCTGTGAGAGTTTTAAGTTTCCTCCATTATTCTATATTTGCCTGTGACAGCTATATAAGCGTATTAATATTGGTGAAGAGACATCATGACCAAAGCATTTATCTAGGGCCTGGATAACATGGCAGGAAACAGATAGGCATGGCCCTGGAGCAGATGCTGAGAGGTTTATATCCTTATTCACGGGCAGCACACAGACAGAGCTCCTGGGCCTCATGTGGATTTTTGAAACCTCAAGCCCACTCCCAGTGATATATCTCCTGTCAATACGGTCGTATCTTCTAAGCCTTACCAAACAGTTCAACTACCTGGTGACTGACTAATCATTCAAATATATGAGTGTATGGGTGCCATTCTCATTCAGCTTCCATACTGCAGGCAGAGGCCCCTCATTCATTTCCTGGCCGCCCAGACTCCTGAAATAATCACACAGAAACTATATGATTTGTAATACTGTTTTGCCAATAGCTTAATCATATTGCTACCTACCTCCTACGTCTAGAATTAACCCATTTCCATTGTTTTATATTTTAACAATGAGGCTTGTGACCTACTGGCAAGGTTCCAGCTGACAGCTTACATCTTTTCCCCCTGGTGGCTACATGGCATCTAGCAACTCCGCCTTCTTTCTCCCAGCATTCAGTTTAGTTTTCCCCACCTAGCTCTACTCTACCCTATCATAAGTCAAGCCAGCTTCTTTATTCATTAACCAATAAAAACAACACATATACAGAAGGACTTCCCACACCATTATACCCTAATGATAGAATTATCCTGAAATTCCCATGGAGCTAAAAATCAATGACAGAATTTAAAAGTAATAACAGTAAAGAATCATTGGCTTAAATAACAGAGCCCAAAGTAAGAGCACCCTGCCATGGGACACTTTCTGTGCTAAAACACTTTAGAAGTTGGTCAACTTTGCTTTTCACCCCCTCCAAAGCTCATATTGAAATTTAGCTCCCATTGTAACAGAATAGAAAGGAAGCTTTAAGAGGGTCCACCAATTTGTGCTTGTTATTGGAAAGGAAGACCCAAAGAGTTTTAAAATGCCTTTACCATTCCCCCACTCCTTGTCTTGACAAATAATATCTGAATTCCTTCCATTCGCATCAACCCATGGTCATTTTTTTACATGTTCCTTCCTCTACCATTATTCCCAGATGAGAATGCATCAAGTCCCTAAAATTCTGTTTCTTTAAGTGATCTCTCTCGTCTCACATTGTATGCAATAAAAGCCATGCTCTTTTTGGTGTCATGAGAGCTCCACCTTCATAAATGAACTGATGCCACTATTACAAGCTTACTTCCTCCTGCATCCCCACTTTCCTCTCTCCTTGTGCTATCTTCTACAAAGCTGTGATATTTTAGTAAGGTTTTCTCCAGATGTTGGCACCTTAATAGTGAGAGTGCTCAGCCTCTACAAATATGACTCTATGCATTTCTGGCCACTGTATTCTCCATTTGCAAGCACTCTGTTATAGCAGTGTTGATAAACTAAGAGAGAGCACTGGAAACAGAGCAGAACTATAATAAACCCATGAAAAGTTGGAAATGGCTTTAGAACTTGGTAATGGAAAGAGGTTAGAAGTATTAGGAGGAGCAGGTTAGGAAAGGTCTAAACTTCAATAAGTAAGGCAGTAATAATAATACTGGTGAGGTCTGAGAAAGAGAAACACAATAGATACACAGAATAGACAACATCTGGGACACAAAACAAATATTTACAGATTTAAAAAGATTGAAATCAGCCCTTGTATTCCCACTGGTTAAAACTCAACAAAACTTAAAATTGACAGCAAAGAACTCTCTAGGAAATACACAGGCTCGTGGGATTAAACAACTCATTAATGGATAAATAGTGGATCAAAGAAAAAATCAAGAAAGACATAAAAAATTTCCTGGAAGCAAATGAAGATGAAAACACAACACAACACAACAAAACCTCTGCAACACATTGAAAGCAGTTCTACACGGAAAATTTATAGTCCCAAATGTATACAATAAAAAAAAAATTTAAAAACCACAGAATTCAGGGATTTAATGATATAACTCAAAAAACTGGAAGAACAAGAGCAAACCAAATCCAAGCCCAGGTGACAGTAATAAACATAAAAATCAGAGCAGAAATTAATGAAAGAGAAACAAAGAAAATAATAAAGAGAGTCAAAGATACAATTCTCTGAGAAGATAAACAAGATGAAAAGATCATTGACACCCCTAACCAAAGGAAAGAGAGAACTCAAATAAAAACAATAAGAAGAGAACAGGTAAATATTATAATAGACACTAGAGAAATTCAGGATATTATATGGGAATACTCTAAAGAACTGTACTCCATCGATCTGGAAAAATCTCAAAGAAATGCATGAATTTCTGAATCAAAATTAACCAAGAACCCAACAACCAAACACAACCATAACAAATGAGGAGATTGAAATGGTAATAAAAATCTTACAAGCTAGAGAAAGTCTAGAGCCAGGTGCATTCACAGAGAATTCCACCTGGCTTTCAAAAATTATCAAAAGCAAATCTTTCTTAAACAAGAAAGAGAGAAGGAACACTCTTAAACTTCTATGAGGCCAGTATCACCCTAATAGTCAAACCAGATAAAGTGATGGAAGGAAGGAAGGAAGGAAGGAAGGAAGGAAGGAAGGAAGGAAGGAAGGAAGGAAGGAAGGAAGCTATAGTCCAATATCCCTGATGAACATATACTCAAAAAAATTCCCAATAAAATACTTACAAATAGAATACAGGCATACATCAAAAAGATTAGCCACCACAAACAAGTTGGCTTTAACCTGGAAATGAAGGGATGGTTCAACATACAGAAGTCAACAAAAGTAATAAACCACATAAAAGGACTTAAAGACAAAAATCAAATGATCATCTCTATAGACTAAGAAAAAAAAATCTTTGACAAATATCCAACATCCCTTCACACTAAACATCTGAGTGAATGTAAGGCTAGAAGGAACATACCCAAATACAATAAAATCTATGTATGTGAAATTCACAGCCAACATCAACCTAAAATGAGAAGAGCTTGAAGCAATCCCACTTAAGTCAGGACTAAGACAGGGATCACCATGTTCACTATCCCTACTCCTTCTCAATATTCTGTTTAAATTCCTAGGTAAAGAAATAGAACAAGAGAAGGAAATTAGGAAAATAGAGGCATACAAATGGGGAAAAATCAAATTATCCCTATTCATAGATGAAATGATATAATTTGTTAGATATCCTAAAATTCAAACAGAAAACTTCTAGAAATGATAAACAAATTTGGCTAAGTGGCAGAATACAGAATTAACCTTTACAAACTAATAGCAAGTCTATATATCAACAGCCAATGTACAGAGAAATAGATCATGGGCACACATCCATTTACAATAGCTTTAAAGAAGTCAATAAACCTAACAAAGGAGGTGAAGAACATCTTCAATGGTAAACCTCTGAAGAAACAACTGCAAAAAATTAGCCTGTGGTTTTCTGCAAAGAAACAGCACGAGTTTTCAGCAGGATATTATTGAGTTTGAAGCTCAGTTTTGAGAGTATGTTTTATATTTTACTTTATATTTTAGTAAATATATTGAGAGTATGCTTTATATTTTACTCCATGTTCTGCACTCATCCATGGGGATGAGCTGCATTTCTCTTTATTTAGGACCCCTGAAAATTCTTTTATCAGTTCTTATCCTTTGTAGATTATACATTTCATAGTTCTTTTGTTAACGGTAGTCCCAAATATTTTACTCTTTTAAGGATTTCATTTTTCCAACCAATTAGTTCATTTTTTACCCATTTCTCTCATGTTCCTTTTATGTACAGAAGACCCTATTAACCTATTTGTCATTATTTATTTTCTCAAATTTAACACAGCATCATTCATTTAGTTCTCTGTGTCTTTTTTTTATCTGTGTCTTTCACAATTTGAATTCTCAAAGCAAATACTTCCTGATTAATATTAGCTTAATACTCTACAAAGATTTGTACAACCCACGCCACTCTTACACATGCATGGCCATGGCGTAACTGGTCATTTATTCTGTCAGAGCTTATGGTCACCATCATTTTATTTCTCATATTAAATTTTAAGCTCCTTTTAGTAGAATCAATGCTTTATATTTTACTGTCTTCAAAAAAAAAAAAAACCCACAGAGTCCTTTCTCCACAAGAAAAATTTCAAAACTTACTTTTCATTTGCCTTTCCTTTTATGGTGAGAAACAGCTCACTGGAATGAGAAGAATGGGTTTTTGTTTTGAATCTTTGCTTCACCAATGGAACACTGCATGCCGGGTGACTTTTCCATCTATAAATTAAGAGATCAATGTTTAAGCAAGTGAATTAGAAAGAAACAAATAAAATGTAAGGCTAAGGAAGAAATTTGGTAAGTGGTATGTATATTCACTACCAAAAACATAATAAAATAATAATAAAAAAGCTTTGCTATTTCCAGAAGCCATAGGCTATTAAATGAAAAACCCAGTATTGGTGGGGGGTGGGCTTCCCTATGAGTTGGTCAAAGAATTCTCCGTGGCCATCCAAACAATATGCTAATACAGTCCTTTTGTCCACCAAATCTAGGAAGCAAAACTCAAGATATCAAATCTCTGGTTTGCAGGACATAGTGAAATTCAGCTGGAACTGCACTGAAAGCATGCCCCCACTCCCGACCCCCTGTGGCTGTGGAACTGCACCAG